GGTTTTCGACTATTAATATTGGTTTAGCAATTAGTCTAAGGCTATTTTAAGGATATTACTCTGTAAGTACTTTAATTGTTGTTTAACTGGAGTTAGCAGGTTATCATTTCATTCCTTTATTTACCTTTTATATTTGTTCATTTTAATTAATATCGCATAGTCAAATTGTCAAATGTCTTACTGTTATTTTATTTTTAAAAAATCCGAACGAAGTTCCTTAATTCAGAAGTGGGATAAAGATCTCTTTTTTATAAATTCTTTGGTCCACCGTATTTTGTTTTCTTTTTGACAATTATGTCTAATAAAATGAATCGTAACCGATCTAAATTAGAAAAAGATTACGCCATGTGAAAAATAGATTGATATCTAGCCCACATAGATACCCTAGGGTGTCCATAGCACGAGTACGTTGTCGTAGATCGAGAAACGAGTCGAGCAGCAGTAAATTTTCTCAACACGCACCCGCATCATACTTACTTGTAAGTGATTCATTGAATGATAATTTGAATAACACTTTAGTAAGACTCAAAGCTGTCGATCAGTTTAATAATAGTGTCGTAGAGTTACAACATAATTATCAGGAAATTTTGCTGAATCGGTCGTAAGAAATGTGTCTATAGGTCACAATCACATAGTTAATAGTGGCAACGAATCACCAAACGTAAATAGTTTAGTTAACTTGAGCGATGTCTCTCAGACTACGACTCACGATCAAGATACCACTGTTCGCTATCCCGATACTATGTCAGTTTCGTATTTTACCATTATGACAGAAGCCCTTAAGAATCTCGCACTCATAAAATCGCTTCATTATTACGTGTCAATTTTTGATTCTTCTGATTGATTTATTGTGTCTAGAGGTAGATCGCGCAATGATAGTGGACAGTGGAAGATCATGAGTGTTTTTCCCGGGAAGCATCTTATTTAAAAGCCGACGCCAAGACATAACTAAATTCATAGGTCACAAATGGTCGTACATGGATATTTTTAAAACTCATTTAAGACCTCTCTGTTCTCAGAAGTTGGACTCCGCTAACATTTCCTTTGCATGTATGAACACGACATACAACTAATATACGACATACGCTGGGAATGTGAGACGTACATTATAACGTTTACGATTGGTTAAGGATTTATCTGCAGAACTTGGAATTGTAATAATAAACAAACCAACATTAACAACTTTCAGAATAAAATGATAATCCCGCTGCTAAGTCGTCTTAATACGCGCATTTATTAAAACTACAGGAAACTGTGAAGACGCATGTTTTGTTAAGAATAGGTAAGGATTAACTAACTACCAAAATGTAAACATATGTTAACCGAAGCTGGTGAGAAATATCGATGTGGTTCGTGCAGTTGATAGTGCATACCGATTAACATATTTATCAATATTGGTGATCACATCATATCACTGATTTCTTCTGACCTTATTAAATTACTTTCTTGCCAATCCAAGAATACGATGTACATTACGAGACGTTAATGAATACGAAACCTTTGCCACTCCTCACAACACAGTAACTATTGAATTCAGCAATATTTCATTTTAAGATCTAGTAGTAGTACCGTCAGCCTGCATGAATAGCAACAGATGTTTTGAATCGTGTTGGAGTAATGTATGTAAGAGTAACAACAACAGTATATCACTCGCTGGGATCAGTCAGGTTAATCAAGTACTAGCCACCGAAAACTCTTTATATAAAATCCCTCTGCCAGGTAGTAATCTGGAATTACCAATGTTTGTATTGTCGCCTTTCTCGGATTTTCTTGTGTACCGCTGCCACTACAGTACAGTATAGGTGAGATGAATATCAAACTTACTAGTTCAATTCCAATAACTTGTCGCCCATACAATTTATTTTACAGGAAGATGGTACAAGTTAGCGAAATAATGAAGGATCTCTTAGATAAAGGCATCATTAGGGAATCTCGATCCCAATATGCCAGCTCAATAATTTCAGTGACGAAAAAGATTTTCGAGCACTTATTCGCAATACAGAGAAGGAAAGATATCCGTTTTCATTTATTGACCATTAAATTGATTTTTTTTAGGATGACATAACTTCGTCACCGGCCCTGATATGGCGACTTCATGAAATGAGAATCAGGGACGACTGTATTCACTACACAGGCTTCGTTACGTCCGCGTCAGGAGGGAACTACGAATACTGAAAGATGCCATATGGTTTGACAAACTCATCTATTGTTTACAAACCTATTATCAATTAATGATATGCTTCGGGAATTCATTGATTCTGATGACTTGCTCGTTTATATCAACAAAGTACTTCTTCTGAATTTTAATGCTAAAAAAAAGGTAAAGGTAGAATTCTATTTTTTTTGATCAATATTAAAATAAAATACTCGTTTCTGAATACCGAAGTTGAGAACTTAGACAGACATATAAGTGGTGGTCAGGTTAGCCCGAGCGCTAGAAAAAGGAGGAGGCTCTGTAATTACATCATTACATGAACTCATCTGCAATTTTATTTTTATTTTATTTTGTTTATTGGAGAAAAAAAACAGATCACAGGAGTATAACAAAAAAATATAAACAACAATACAGCATATTAAAGACAAAATACCTGTGTCCTCAAACATTTCTCACCAAGAAATATAACTAAGTAAAAATGAGAGGACGCTTGGGCACGTATCTCACTAATAAATAAATTTGAAAGGCGATGTGTAAACCTAATCTAGTATGTGAAGGGAGCGATGGCGAATGTGCAGAGAATATCCAATACTTAAAACAAACTAAACTAAATTCCCAGTCAATGTAAATGAAAAACAGGACTGCTAGGTGGTTTATTCTTTTTTCAATAATACGTCCCGCAACTTGCTGTGAAACGCGGCAGAGTTATGACGTAGAATATCAACCTGAGAAAATTCGTTATGAGTACGACATATTTTTCGTATTGGGGCGCGTAATCCCGCATTCGTGTATGATCGCGGTACATGAAATAGAGATTAATTACAATAGTGAAATAAGGTCAGGGCCTTAAAATATTTCCACCACAATCTAGTTGGCATCCAGTTTAAAATTGTAATCCAATGTAATGTAATGCTCTTAAATCAGCTCAACCAACCACTCAACGTGTGATGCCATGGAATTTAGAATGGTGCCCAGATACTGGTGCTATAGTATTCGATGGTGAAATTTTTGAACTGTTTTTGTCACTTTGCTCATTTTCTTTTAACGACTGTTCTCAGAAGCAGTGGTGACAAGTTTCGCGAGACGTCACTTGTCGAGACGGGGACATCCCGCTGGCCTGCAGCTGGTGGAGGTTCGAGACACCGCAGGCGTCTCATTGACCTGCTGCCGGGTGGGAGTTCAAGACGCAAGTCTACTCATCACCACTGGCGTTTGTCGCCTTGGCGTTAGTCGCCTTTGACGTGTGTCGTCAGTTTGCGTTAGTCGCATAGGCGTTTGTCGCCTTGGCGTTAGTCGCCTTTGACGTGTGTCGTCAGTTTGCGTTAGTCGCATAGGCGTTTGTCGCCTTGGCGTTAGTCGCCTTTGACGTGTGTCGTCAGTTGCGTTAGTCGCATAGGCGTTTGTCGCCTTGGCGTTAGTCGCCTTTGACGTGTGTCGTCAGTTGCGTTAGTCGCATAGGCGTTTGTCGCCTTGGCGTTAGTCGCCTTTGACGTGTGTCGTCAGTTGCGTTAGTCGCATAGGCGTTTGTCGCCTTGGCGTTAGTCGCCTTTGACGTGTGTCGTCAGGTGCGTTAGTCGCACGGGCGTTAGTCGCCCTTAACGTTTGTCCTCAGTTGCATCAGCCGCCATCAGCGTTGGTCGCCACTGACGGGAGTCACCACTGACGGGAGCCCCCAGTGGTGGAAGTTGCCGATTGCGTGAGTCGCATTGGCATGAGCTGCACTTCTATGGTGTTGGTAGCCCTTCAAAGGCGTGAGTCACCCGACAATGGTAATGTACTGTGGGGATGTGAAATTGTTGGGATACCGTCGATTTCACACCTTTTTCTTTATTTTCACTTTATCTGTCTTGGATGCCGTTTAGCTTACATTACTTTATTTGAAAAACATTTGGACACTACACTCATGCAAACAATAATGTTTCCGATAGTAATGGTGATGTTATTTCAAAATTCAGGATGACAAGGTGCTTCGGCCGGATCGTCTATGCCAAACCTTGAAGACGAAGATCGGGAAGGTGGCGCAGTAGGCGAGGCTGCTACTGAACAACAGAGAAAATGTGGCCGAGGACGACCAGGAGTCAGGAGAGGCCGAGTTAGGAAACTCCTTGGTCAAGAAACAAAATAGAAGCCGAGTTAGGAACTCCTTGGAAAAGAAACAAAAAAATAGAAGCAGTGCGCAAAAAGAAACATCGGCACTTTCTGGTGGTCCGTCGTCGAGGCAATATCGCTCATGGGTTTTCGACTATTAATATTGGTTTAGCAATTAGTCTAAGGCTATTTTAAGGATATTACTCTGTAAGTACTTTAATTGTTGTTTAACTGGAGTTAGCAGGTTATCATTTCATTCCTTTATTTACCTTTTATATTTGTTCATTTTAATTAATATCGCATAGTCAAATTGTCAAATGTCTTACTGTTATTTTATTTTTAAAAAATCCGAACGAAGTTCCTTAATATATAATACATCAATTTATAACAAATAAATTGACAAATATTAATTTTATTACATACGAGCGGAGACCATCATACATGTGTTTATTTTGCTATTATCTTTGTCTCTACTCCTATGAAATTTAGAAAATATTAATATTCAATTTAAATTTAATGTCTATTGGACAGTAAAGTAAATATATGAAAACCTGGTATTTATAAAACTTAAACTATTAAACCAAAAGTTTGTATTTTATGAATCAGTTAACAGATTTGGACACCGAAATCTGTAATTGCTAGGAAGTTAGAAATCATAAATATAATAAAAACAAATAAACGCTCGTTTGTTAACCGATGTATTTAAGGTCAGATTATAGTTAGCAGTTTTAATATAAAATAGCACATATCACAATTTTTAAACGTATATTTCAATTTGGTAGTTAAGACCTGATCCCCTTTCACTCTTGAGTCTTATATTCGCGTACGACTGTCCTACTCCTCCCGCGGTTATTGTAGCAATGGCATCTGTGTGGTCCAAATCCCTTGCAATTATTCCCTGTAAATAAATTAATTTCAACTTTCAGTAACTATACTTAAATTCCGAGTTGTTTATTAACCATTATAATAATTATTATAAAACACATTCAAACTACTTATATATTTTATGAAAGTAATATACTTATAAAATTTATAAATTTAAAACGCAATATTTATTATGCATAGCAAATTTTATTAAACCGTATCTCATAAATCTTATTGGTAACGAGACAATCACGCAGACGTACTATATAGTTTACATATCTTTGTATATGTAAAGATAAAGGAGAATTCACAGCAAAATAATTAATTACACCGAGGCCTCTGCAAACGATGTTGTTTTAATCATCGCTCGTTCCGTACATCGCGACGTTTCAATAAAGGGTTGAAATCTATTCAATCCCAAAATACCTCGTGTTCATGAAAAGCTTTGCCATGCATTAATAAAATACAAAACAACGCGAGTTGAACCATTTATTAACATCCTATCTTATTATACGATGAATTTTTGTTTTCGTTTTTCATGTAAATTCCGCTGAGACGTGAATCTTATTGTTTTTACTCACAACGTAATGGAAATTATATACATATGTATTACAAGTGAGTTTTTGTTTTCCCTTTTATCCGCAGTTCATCTCAAAAACGATTTAATTAATTTAGATTACAATTATTTGTTTTAGAAATTTTTGACTGGTCTCCTAGATATTTTAAGAGCAAAATTGTGGAAAATATTAAATAAGTGACGTTATCCTAATGAATTGATACTAAAGCCTAAATTATTCTACAGTTATATCCCCTTCGAGTTCATATAAATTTCTGTTTAATTCTTTATACTTACACAGTTATGGTATCTTACCAAGATAAACTTTGGGTCATTTAGGTCAATGATTTTGTCCCCAGCGAGCGCTATTCCAAAAAATTATTAAATGATATATTTTTACAGCATATTAAATTACAAAGTTAAAGCAAAAGAATTTATATTTTTCCTTCGCTCATGTTATTGTTTTACCTTTGTATAGAACAAAAGTGATAATCTATACTTATATTATAAAGCTGAAGAGTTTGTTTGTTTGTTTGTTTGTTTGTTTGTTTGTTTGTTTGAAAGCGCTAATCTCCGAAACTACTGGTTCGAATTGAATAATTCTTTTTGTGTTGGATAGTCCAGTTATTGAGGAAGGCTGTGGGCTATATAACATCACGCTACGACCAATAGGAGCAAAGATATAGTGGTAAATGTGTAAAAAACGGGAGAAATTATTTCATCTTTGAAGCCTTCCGTTGCGTGCGCCGTGAAAACGGTTCAAGATACACAAAAAATATGTATGAAAGAATAATAGCCCTTTTAATGATCTAAAAAACAGTCCGCGACAGTATATATCTATCTTTTAAGATTAACTCACAAAAACCGTTTTTATGGTACCTAATATGGTCGAAATAATTTGTTTAAGTCGTATCAACATAATAATATTAATCTTTATTCAAATAAACAAATAAATATGTTGTTGGTTAAGAGTACTTCATTGTGAATAAAAAAAATAAAAATATAGGTTTTATCCTGAAAATTCTACAGGAACTCGACCATTCCGAAAACCCCGCAAGAAAGGGAACTATGTGGGAAGAACCAAAAATCTGCCGGAAGTCACTACTCCACGCGGACGGAGTCGCGGCAAAAGCTAGTTATACTATAAGTACTAAAATATATTACCTCTTACAATTCTATAGTTATGTTTTTTCGGATAACTTTTCCTTAATACATATTCAATTGTTTATATACAAGGAAAAATATATTTTCTACTACATATAAGGCATAAAATTTATCGAGGTGCTTCTAAATTCTAACAGGAAATTTTACATGATAAAAGAAGGTGAGTATAAAAATTAATTACTTTTCAGTTTGGGTACATAAGTGAAACTTAATTAAGGAAACAAGACCACCTTAGTTTACCATATTTAATATGCTAAGAATTAAAACTATAACATACAACATATTTCCCCACATACGTTTTTTATGGAAAAAAGTTTTAGTGATATTTTTTTATTGCTTTTATTACATATAATGTACCAATTCTTAATACATTACATTTTTTAAACTATGAGAAAGAAAAATATATAGCCAGAATTATTGATATAATGTTGAATAGGCGATTATTAGTATTTTACTAACAATGGGATTTTTAAACACTCGCTAGTAATACAAAGTTCCTGGCTTAATCAAACATGCCATTGTTTATGTGTTCTATTATGAAATGTGAGTTATATTACAATCAACTATTATAATTAAGCCATACACATCTGGGTGTGGACGTTAAAATATACAGAGTAAATTAGCACATACACAGTTATTTGGCATCATCAAAAGATTTGTATCACACAAAACAATCCTTACCACCAGACAAGAATTTTATTAAACAACCTGAGATTGAGGTCACATTTCTCACAAATTGCGTTACACCCTCGTAAATGTCAGACGTACTATATTAGTGCATTTTCATTGCCAGCCAGTTGTTGATTAAGTAAATAACTTTTATTTGGTTTTGTCTTATGGTTCACTTTAAAAAGATTGTTAATTAAAAATTTGCTACTACACTTGCATATACATATATAGTTAGGCGGTCCCATTATGAATTGGCCTGAAATTAATGAAGGAAATGAAACGAAACAGATTTTATTTTCAATAAAATTATCATGAACACAGACTTCTAACATCTGTCAATCAATATCTTTAAATCTTTATAATCACAATTTTAACCTCAAATTGACCCAAGAGTTTGCAACTCTTCATTGCTTGAAAATATTCTTCCTCCTAAGTCCCTTTTTAAATTTGGAAATAAATAATGATCGAACGAGGCCATTTCTAAACTCTAAGGTGGATGTTCCACTTCTTAGAATCTGCATTGAATTGTTCGAAACACCAGCGGTTGATATTCTGTTGATACAGAGGCGTTGTCATAGAACAACAGGACCGTCAGACAGCTTATGTCTTCGTTTTGCCTTTATCTTGTACCGTATATATATATATATATATATATATATATATATATATATATATATATATATATATATATATATATCCAAGAAGCATTATATTCGCTGTTCATGACTCTATAACATTCTTCAAAGTCCACCATTACAATATCTCAAAAATTTCAAACGATTGTGCATATCAGTTTTTTAGCCTATTGCTGCACCTTAGCCTTTTTAGGCGACTTTTACACCTCAAAACTTCATTCCATTGACCCGCGTTTACTTTGTGGATCATAAAACAAGATTATAAGCACCAGATTATAAAAACGAAATTAAAAGTCACAATCCCCTTGGTCACAGTTTTTGAATTTTCGCAACAAAGATCCAAAACCACCTATCCACAATACACTCTTTCCTGTCTCTGTACCACTGATAAAAGTTGTGGTATCCACCTTGCACTTATATTCATGTGAAGATGTTCGTGGATCGCACAATTACCGGAACTTTTAGAGAGCCTCATCCTAGCTGAAGTTTCTCTTTAACCTTCAAACGGTGGTCACTTAGGACCTCCTCTTTGATAGGAGCAATTGTTTTGGGAGTAACCGCTTCCACAGATCGACCTTTGGGGCCAATGTCTTTGTTGGTTTCCCTCCAGAGGCGAAACTCTTTCATGGAATTTTTCACCATACTATCGGAGGGGGCAGACTCATTACATATACCATCCAATCGTTCTTTTGTTTTGGGAAAGGGATAAACCTTCTTTAAACAGAAACATTTTGACACTTCAATACTCACTTTTTGATATTTTGAGTAAATACGCTACACTCGTTATTCAAATGCCTGCTAAACTAAGACTATGCATTTCATGTCGATGCGTGTTTCCTATTTTAAGTACAGGATAAACGTACTATTTAATGTAATACAACATGTAGCGACATGTCTTGTTGAACTATAACAGACAAATTAATTATGGGCTTGCCTGCATACTTATGTATTCTACACCAAAAACTTAATATTAAAAATAATAGAAAAACAAAAGTTTTAACAAAACTACATTTTTGTTTATCATTACTTTATGAATAAAAGTCACTAGTATCGCTCAAGTAAGACGTAATATTTGTTTTTATAAGAATTGTGTAATAAAATATTACACAATTCAGTTTGACTTGTTTTATTTTGGTTAAACATTTGAGGTATGAAATCCTTAAATTTTTTGAAACATGAAGCATAGAAAACAATAGGTATATTAATCAAATTATGAAATCTTTTAAATAATACAACGTATCGCATTTTCTCTGTTAAATCTATGTCAGGGTTATCTCAGCACATTACGACCTTCTCATAACATCAGATATACACTACATATAAATAAATCGAAGTATACGTATCCCCATTAATATTTTAAAACTAAGCATATACATCACACGTACGAGTTTGTGTACAATACGTACTATCAACTCATTAAAACAAAGAAACAGGAAAATTCCTTAAGGTATCTTGAAAAAGGTCAATCAAAATCGTTGAGCAGAATGTTTTATATGAGGATGACAAAAGCTGTCAGATCTATAAAAAGACAGGCCCAAGGTCAATCTCTGACTCATGACTTAGTATCGCATAAAAAGAACCAATTGAATAATTTACGCATTATAATAAAAGTAGGTTACAAAGTCGTAAATCATATATATAAAATAACTCATATTTTTTATTCCATACACGAATAAAATATGTAGAGGAAATATTAATAGTTTTGGTGTGAAATTGTACATATTTTATCGGATATCAAATGAAACCATTTGATGCTTTTGAATTGACAGATAGTGAAATAATGTTTGGAATATTTTTAACGTTTTGTTTTAATTTGAAATCATGTACCGAGAAATATGAAAACAGAGAAATAATATTATTTTTTTAAAGTCCCACATAGTTTAAATAAATAAAATTAGGCTCAATAACATATTATAAAGTTTGCGTATTTTTAAAACATATCAATATTGCATATGATAAAGTTTATTGTTAAGATTCTTGAAACCAACAGAGTCAATCTTAAACTATTTATATGAAATATGTATATTGTGCTATTTTTTACTTCAAAGAATCTGTAAGTAAAGTTTACATTGACATGATTACCTTAATAATTTGTTGTCCTGGATCCGAATAGAATACTTCCTTGACTCTCTTTTTGAGCGGGATGGCATTGTATTCTGCTTTTTCTTGCCAGAGCAATCGACCGTTAAAACTGGTTCCAACAATAAGATCTTTGCAATGACAGACGCAAAGAAAAGATACAAGAACCACAAATACAATATGTGCAGTCTTCATTTTAATGTTCGTTTCACGTATTTACTCGAACAAGTACGCTGGTCGACTGATTGACACTGCGCTTACGTACTCAAATAAAAAACCTGTTTATCTTAATAGAGGAAAACACATATTATATGGCGAAATAGATCGACAAGTGTGTCTATGACTCAGCATGTGATTTATATCTTGTATTTGATAATATATATTCGTTAACTATTCAATAAAACTAATAAGTCAGCATAAAAAAATGTATTTCTTATATATTTAAGAACGTAGAATAAAATAGACTTTTTTTTTAGCTGAAGTTGACAGAATATTATTAACATAAAAATATATTAAAAGAAACGTATGAAACATAGGAGATTCTAACCAAAATAAGTATATGAGAGCAAATCTTAAAAAATATCGGTGATAAAAAATTATATTAAAAGACGAATTGTCATACATAACGACAAATGAGTATACATAGTCATTTTTTATTGAAGGAACACAAAAAGAATAAATATAGAAATATTAAGTCACACATATAACCAATATTATTTGATTTCAACTTAATGTACAACAATTTTTTGACGAGGGACACTAAACTTTAAATGATACATCATTTATTATTCTGCTTTATAAAAACCTTTAAAGTTTTTGGTCCAAGTTTTATTAGGCTATTATTGTATAATTTATAAAGCTTTCCTTTAGTTCTCGAGACTTACTACGTTCAACTGCACTAAATAAACAGATAACATGGAACAGGATATAGTGCTTATGGTAGAGGATTGTCTTTATGGAATTATCTGATAATCCAATTTGCTCTTGCAACAATGTAGATTCCATGTTCTATATCAAGTATTGTATAGTGCTCTTTGAAATGAACGTCCTGTGATGGATTCGCTAGCAATAAAGGTCAGATCAAAGCAAAGTTATGAACAACTTCAAATATATTTACACCCTATTATTGTATCTATATAGTTTAATGTTTTTTCTAATAGGGTAAGTCCCTTCGGTGCTTGTCTGTCAGTAAGCCTTAAGTGATGAATCATATTATTATTACATCATAAAAGTATGAGCGATAAAGAATATTTATTAAAACTATATAACTAATAACATATTAAAAAAATATAGGTAAAATGATTATGTATTATCAATGTACTTAGTTAATATATATAAACAAGTAACAATTTTATAATAGTATATTTTTATTGAATGTAGTAATCAAGTTAAACTTTATATTTCTAACCAATTGAAATGAAATTGTTCAATAAATTAAGCTTATACCGATAATATGTTGCTAAATTTCGATAATTATATTTTAATTGCAAAATATATGCTCATAACAGTTTCCAGTAAAATATCTAGGTTACAATTCAAATAATGAAACTCATCTGACAAAAATATTTACTATATCAGAATTGTAACCTGCAATTTTCGGGTAATATTTATAATTAAAAATAAATGGCCCAAAGTTAGAAAGCATTGTTAAGTAATGCATATGAAAATGTTATAACATGACTCCTCATAAATAAGCGTTGAAATATATAAAATGCTTCTTATACGTTATACAAGCTTCAATGTCTTATTTAACAAAGTTACTTTAAAATAATGTTCCGGAAAAATCATATTTATGGGTTTAAATTTTAATTCAATACAATTTCTTACCAAAACTCTGTTACACGATAAACAAAAATACAAAAACGAAATCTCAGAATACGAAATTAAGATGAAGTATACATTTTAATTAGAATGATATCATATGTAAGCTGATAACCTCAGCTTAGTGTATCTTGTTACAGAGAGTTATGATGCGAACGTATCCACCCACCAAAGTGAATACAAATAGAGCAATAAATTGTTCCCATATGTTCATTCTACACAATGCTAGAATTAGTTTGAATAAATTTAAGGAACATTAATGAAATCTATAAAATTCGAACATTTATATTGTGTTTTGTATACATATATGTGTTTTGAGAAGCAAGGCCTTGTATAAAACCACGTGAAACCCTAAACTATAATATAATATGTACTCGTAAAGCCTATATATTTACTTTGTGTACAAGTTACATTTTTTTCTATATAGATACTACCAGTTCTCGATGTCGAGTTAAAACTAAATGCAAAAATAACTTAGTTATCTGCAAAGGAATTCTTTATAACGCGCCTGCCCAGCAACTCTGAGCATAATTTATTTTCTGCAAAAGAGTATGCCGCTGAAGCCAAGAGCGTTTGTACACATTAACGGTATGGCTCATGAAAAATCGCTTAGGGAAGAAGCAAGCGAACCCAGTTTGTGGGGCAATATAACGTGGAACTCATTTATCCTTTTTGTGTTCCTTCGCTAAAATGACTATATACATTTGTCGTTATGTACAACGATTCGTCTTGAAATATAATTTTTTATCACCAACATTTTTTAAGATTTGCCCTCATACATTTTTGTTAGAAACTCCAATGTTTCATAAAGAAGGATTGTTTTAAGGTGTCGTTAGAATGTTTGTGCGTTACATAATATTAAAATTATTCGTCAAAAAATGTGATTTACTGATTCAATTAAGACTTCATTTGCTTTGTGGACGTGTTGCGAGTTTAACAATTTAGTTCGTCTCAAGACTGGCATAATAATTAACGCTAGTTGCAGCTACCCGGAGTTTAGTAAGAAAAACATATTATAATTAAATATTTTACATGGTGTAAGGAATATTAATAAAAAAAAATAACAAAATTTTACGTTGGTTTATTTAAATTTAGAAGAGCAAATTTCGGATAACAAAGTTCCTTACATAACTATAAAAAGGTATAATACAAAATTTAATGTTTAAAACTGTATTATATTTATCTTTTTAGACACTTCTTTTTTGTGGGAAGTGGTCTGCCAGAAGTTTTTTTTGACGTTTAATATAAATTGTTTTTTATACATAGTATCAAGAAATTTAAATGAAATATAATATGTAATTATGAAAAAACTATGATATATTAAAATGAATTGTATGTGTATCCGCTTTATTCCATATATCTATGTATATGAAGGTAACACGTAACCTATAAATAAATATTAATTTAGAATATTTATTTTTCCAATAAATCTGACTGAAGTAAATCCCGGTACAATTTTCTACGTCAGACATCAGGCAATACACATCAAAGCAATATCTTTCCGCTTTTGTAATCTTCTATGCTGTTATGAAAGTTCAATGATTCGTTTCTTGTCTCGTTTTTGGTTTTTCATAAAGAGATCTTTTAAGCAATAAAAAATTCTGTTTTCTTAGTTAAAGTCTTTAGAATAAAAAGTTAGAAACTTTTTTAATACAGCGCTTCACATATTTTATTAAATGGAAACAATATACACACACTCGTACATAGTTTTAACAAATAAAAACCACATTAATTTTCATAGAAGTTTCCTACTTTAAAAAAAAATGTTCAAGCAGAAGTTTGTCTTTTCAAGATTATCCTTTTCCGTTTCTATTTTTAATTCAATAAAACATGTTCTCGGAATATTTATATACTTACTCCAAGAATAATATACACTTAAATTTATTTTGCATTTAACACAAAATGTTTCAAGATTATAAAACTGCAAAATAGCCAGAATAAGTATAGTATTCCTTAGCAATTACTTTCGTTAAGTTTGGGATTACTTCTTATAATTACTTATAGTATGCAACGCCGAACCTCTGGCAAAACCTGTCTTATTTAATATATTTTCATAACTGTATACATTTATATTCCATTGATAAATATGTATATATATAAGTGTTATTTGAATGATATTAAGTCTTATGCTGCTTATATACCTATACATACATTAAGTCACTACTTTCATTTTTTTGATACTGAAAATTCAATAGAAAAACTCATCTCCATTATAATATAAGTACAAAATATACAATTAAAAAATCACCGACTGGAGTCGGTGACCTTTGGAATGTCTTTTTCGATATTTCTTCCTTACATGTCAATGAAATTTTAATTTCATATTTCTTTAACAAAGAATAGTTTTGATTTTAGTTTTGCTTTTTATTAAAAATGTAATAAAGTTTTCAAGTGACTTGAAAAACGGTGGAGTTTATAAATTCGTATGTATTATTACTTTTTGTTTGTTACCTAATAATTTTCAAGTGGTTGAAGCGGTTTTAGTGTTTTTCTTTATCTGATTTGGTTCCATTTCAATTTGGTCAAGTTCTGACAATGTCAACGATGAGAAAGCTATATAAGTGTAAAATTATAATAAAGTATGTGACTGACCAATGAACGAGTATCTTCAACGCTAACCGATTGCAATGTATTTATTCATAAGTTTAGACTTTTACAAATGATCCCATAATGAATACAAAGATACCTGATTACAGTATCCCGAGAAAATTTTAAGAAATCCATATAATGTGTATATACATAATACACATTAAGTAATGGCATTACTTTAGGTGTATTAAATTTGAACTTCGTTGAATACAGGTTTCGTAATCTTGTTATAAATCGACTTCAAAAGAGGAGAAGGTACTCAATTTGCCGAAATCTTTTTATAAAAAATAAGTGTAGGTTAATTTAGGTTTGGGCTACTTTTAAGCCGTTACAATTCAGTGATCTACTATCGTATATTAGAGTTTAGGTTCTTATCTGTAGAAAGCACCGACTTTAAAAGCTTATCAGATATTAAGAAATTATAAATATTATGTTAGGTATTTAATAAGATAATTAGAAAGTAAATAAAAATAGTTTTCGTTTATTCTTCGTGTTTAATTGATTTTTGTGCAGATATTTAGAATATTATTTGATAAGTTATTTAGGTGATTTTTGCTTTTAGTCCCTGGCTTCTATTTTAAAGTAGATTATTTTATTTTTAAATAATTTTATCACTAAAAGAATTAAAATCTTTTCGAACAGGCTACTTTAGGAATGGGTTTCTGCATGAAGTATTTAATAGAACAATGCTGTAGTGAATGTATGATTTAACTTTATTTTAAAATCTATTATTGAACCAACATTCATGATAGAACCAAATAAAAACAATTGACGGGTTGCAATAA